GTATTTTACAATACGAAACGCGTTTTCTGCACCCAAAATGCCCTAAAATCGTGCTCCGTCCTCAGATGTGCTGAAAATACTGGTAATTTCCAAGCGAACAGCCTCCTTGCTGCATTTCTTTCGGACCTCAAATGCGTTTCGTACCACGGCGGAATATGAGCCGCGGACCTAGTTTCCCTTTTCTTCTCCATTGCCCTTATTTGACCCCTATACTCCCTGTATAATCCCTAAATAGCCGCCATAATCCTTATGTTATCCCTATATAACCCCTAGAATCCCTATAAAATCCCTATACAATCCCGTCCCTATATAACCCTATACAACCCCTCTCAGCCGCGTGCTTGGTGCGCCGCCAAAAACTCCAGCTCCTGAGAAACATGGCGGCAGTCGGATCAGACCATGCTCTTGCAACGGGGTTGAGGGTTCAGAGTTTAGGGTTCAGGATTTAGGGGTATCACAAATGGAGTAGGGCTACATGGGAGGTATATAGGGTAATATAGGGATAATGGAATAGAACACGGAAACTACTATACTATACTGGGGTTCTATGGCGATACTGGAACATAAAATGAAAGCTACTATTTAGGTTTGGGGTTAATGTTGGAGGTTTAGGGTTAAAATGCAAAACCAACCGGAAAAGAACATGGAGCATGCAATGGAAACTGGGGTTTCTAGGGGGTACAGTAGGGTTTTATAGGGGCTAGATAGGGGATAATAGAAAAGAAAATGGAAACTACTATAGTATAATGGGGTTATCTAATGCTTATATAGGGTTTGATAGGGTTATATACCTGATAATGGAAAAGAACATGGAAGCTACTATAATGAGTTATTTAGGGGTTACATTAGCCTGTTTAGGGGGACTCATTTAGGGTTTAGGGTTTAGAGGTTAGGGGTTCAGGGTATGGAACTTACAGTATCCAACTTGACAGACAGCTCAGATTATGCTTTAGATTGCCGGGGTCTGTACTCAGCTTTGGTCAGCTGGGAAAGAAAGAATGGAAAATAAAATTGACACTACTATAGTTACCTAGTGGGCTATATAGGGACTGCTATAAAGACCCATTCCTTCATAACTAACCAAAGGTAAGTGCTAGGTGGACTGGTCCGTAGCTTGCATGCGCACGACAGCCTCACCGCCTCGGCCAAAGATGAATGGATCGCCGCCTTAGAACTGCATTATTTTCCATAGTGTTGATACTATTACTATTATTACCAAAACTGTCAAGACTATTACTATTAGTACTATTATCAGGATTGCTGGGCAGATGCCATGGGACTTTTCAGGGATGATGTTTGATTGCCTCGGCTTGGCGGTCAAGCGCCAATGAAGCTGGATTAAGCCAGAGGAGCATGAGTATTTCTTTGATTCGGCAAGGCACGCCTAGCCGGCCTAGCATCACACATCAGTCTGTCTGCTAAGGCTACAGCATTTCAGGCGAACAACGTTGCAGCCACGCTGGCTGTGTGTCAGCATCAAGTCGTGAATCTCCTCTCGCAAAACCCTTTGGACTGCTACCAAGGCCACTAAAAGATGCAAAGCAAAGGATCCCAAAGCAAAGGATCCCAACAGAACCCCCTTTGCCAAGGAACGTCTTGCACGATTCCATTTCAGACGTCCTGTTTTGGTGGTTGCATATTCAAGCTACCATATACTGACTAAGTAGAAGGCACTCCTAACCTACGTTGGGACCTATGGCATCTCTGTGGCATCCCTATTTTCAAACGGTACTGCTTTTCGCGCCCCTTAGCATTCTGGGATGTGACGTCTCTTCAGCTTGAATACATCAGATTCCTAGTCAGCTGCTTGAGAAGCCTGGCAAGGAAAGCCAAAGAAAGCCACATTAACTTCAAACCTCAATTGATGTTTCCCGAAATCAGGGGCCCCTTTTGGCCAGCCCTTGTATGAGGACAATTGTATACTGGGGTCTATTTTGAGAAGCCATACTTCTGGAAACCGTTGCAAGCACCAAACCTGAGGTTTGAGCCTCGCCTGCTGCTGAAGGCCTCTGTCCTGCAATCCATGAGCTGAGGTAAAGGGCCCATGTAGCTACATAGTAGATACTTCCGCCCTAAAGTAACTATATGGGAACATCGTCGGGCCTTAAGTATATACTATATGCCTACATGGACCCTTTGGGAGATCCAGACAATTCAAAAAGGGGATTTAGTTACGCAGTCTCAAAAGCTCTGACCCTGTTCGTCACATTATGATATCATAAAGTCTTGATATGTCCTGATACTAGGAGAAGCTCCGCTTGTTACAGTTTGGGTTGGATTGCGCACAACGACAATCTGCGGAGAAGCGCAAGAGTATCTCGACTGCCAAGCATAGGCGAGGCCTACAAAACCCGAGCACTTGCATGTTTCATAATAGTAATAATAACAGAAAAATGAATCTCTATGGGGGCTTTGTCATGATGACGTCATCAAAGGTGTTTGAATGCTCTTGCTATGGAAATAGTGGCTTGCAAAGTATCCAGATCCACAGTGCAGCATCGCTCCCGTTTGTTGCTCCTCATTGTGCATGTTTGCTTCCATCAGGATAGGCAGGGTAAGTGGCAGTGAACCCTGTCACAACCACATAGCCTACCTCCAGCATGAGAGCCAGCCCCAAGTCTAGTCTTTTGTTTCCTCCTTCGGATATTCGATCTACGGCCATAGCCTAGACGTCCAGCTACAGTATGTCTTGGAGTGGATGGAGACTAGACCAGGGATTGTAGGTCCAAGCACGGGTCGTGCTTGCAGGCCTAGGTCTCTCAAAACCAGAGTTGCAAGCCTCTGGCGAATTCATGGCTCTTGGGCTTCAAACGCCTCAACCTTTGTGGGTTCTGGCTTCTTAGCTTCAGGCTCCTGCTGTGGTGCTGCTAGGCGAAGTGGATGTAGGAAGAAACATCCAAGTCGACAGAGGAGGCCCAGGGGCTCAGAGAGGGGTATCCAGCTGGCGCCGCGGGCCATAGGGCCCTTGTAGCGGTCGGCTCCAGCCATTGCAACGCCGGGCTGCGAAAGCTCTGCAAAAGTCCAGAAGATGAGAACAAGCACGAAGATTTGCAAGGCCAAGTAGCCCCCACTGAAACAGTACCTGGGCATGCAGGACCCTAGCTTAAGACAACGAGAGGGCAGAATCAAAACAGACCCGTGCTTCTCAAAGTGCAGCCGTGTTGCCATGACACGGCACGAATCTTGCCCACACCTGTCGGACGCACGAAGGCAATGAGGAAGATGACCCAAAAGAAGAAGCACATCTGAAGTGCCACATAGGGGATAGAATGAGCGTAGACTGTGTCAATGCTGTGGTCCAACACGGGACTGAAGAGGCCGACCAGCCAGAAGCAGTTCACGCAAAAGATCTCGAAGGCCACAAAGGCCAGGAGAAACTTCTTGCTGTTCTCCCCCTCCCACTCACGTTTGCAGTGCTGGTATATCTTGATCATTCCATAGCTGTGCAAGAGGCCAGTGAAGAAAAACATCGTAGTGGCAGCCTCCATCCAGCCAGGGAAGTCCATGGCTACACAAATCGACCCCTGCCCAAAGACGTGGGAAATTTGGTTGTCATAGGGGTCGTTGTTTCCTGCCAACCTTGCCGCGATTGGCACGACCAGTCCCAGAAGGATGTTGCACCCCATGAGGAAGAGTGGCTTCTCAAGCACATACTGTACTGAAGCTCGGAACACCATCGCCGAGATACTGGTTGCTCTCTTGGAGAGACACACCAGTTAGCTTCGCTTTAAAACCACTAAACCTGCTCAACTTGAGCCCAAAGCTTTAACCTTGCTGTCTTAATGCCTTGCAATTGAGTCAAGAAATTTCCTGAACAAAAAAGCGCCTTGACGTCGCCGCATCGCTTGCCCACATTGATGAGCTGAGCACGCCGAGGCACCATGTTCAAGACCTGCTGGGCAAAATCGCCACTGAATCCCAAACTGAAGCTGCAGGCGCTCAGGGTTTGCCAGGGCTGGAACCCTGTGATGCATACACATTCAAGGCATACAAGCTCAGCCTTGCTGCACGAGCAAATTTTGCTCTGCTAGCCGTATTGTTATCACCAACACTGCCGTCGCGCTGCTGCTACTGCAGCATCATCATCATCATCATCATCAACAACAACAACACCAAAATCAGCAGTATGCTCCATGCATTCCATGCAGGATGCAGTGCATTAGCCTGCTTTGTGATCCCTCGGTTTTGAGGCCATCCATCCCTGACAGCCTCTTCTGGAATGAGACTGTCGTGCAGCACGACGTCTGCCGCCTGGCTGCAGGCCATGCATGGTGCTTTCCACAAATTAGGTTGCTAGAAGGAATGTGCATTCTATAGCGAAATATGAATATAGGGAACGTGATAATGAAGAATCAGCTGGAATAAGAAATGAAAAATACATGGGCACTACTATACATAGCGGGCTTGTAAGGAAATGTCCCCCCAATAATGGAACACTCACGGAAGAGAGAACGGAACATTAAATGGGAACTGGGTTTACATTTAGATGACCATCGGAATCCGAGTTTCAAAAAAAGAAGCGTCCCACTTTGGGGGTCTCCATACGGAGGATTAGAATTATTTTGATATTGGGCTCCAGACAGGGTGAGTTGACGACCATTGTTCGGGATTCTGGATTTGAATGAAATTCCTCTGCCAGCAACTGCCTGTCTGCTCCCTCCAGCTACCCGGCATCTACTCTCCATTTAGGCCTCCACTATTAGGGGCCATATAATCCCGATTAAGAGTACTTGGAGGGTCCTGGTTCTCTTCTTGCGAGGCTGCAGAAAGCATAGGCAGGGTTGTAAGCCTTGTTGTGCACATGTTCGGAGCATTTGGGGCCCCAACAATAAGGATTATAACATATTGGTGTCTATATTGGGGTCCTCCGATTTAATTAATTATGGAAACTGCCATTTCTGTGGTAGAACTCTAGTCCCCTGAAAGCATGGGCAAAGAGTATCTGGTCCAAAGAGGAAGAACCTCGACAGGCACACACAAAAACTGACAAGAGGAAATCTTCACCAACACAACCCTTGATTTCTGCTTCCCTCCTCATCAATACAGTGCCAATCCAACATCGAGTTGGTTATCGGTGGGCACCTACTATGTTGCGGGCGCCAGGCATCCAAAATTGGAAGCTATGGAAACCTAAACCCTAAACCCTAAACCCTAAACCCTAAAACCCTGAACCCTAAACCCTAAACCCTAAAAACCCTAAACCCTAAACCCTCGAATTTAGACGCTCCCTTGGCGGCCTCCAAGCGTCGAACCGCTCGCCTTGGGTCGAGTGATTGCCCCAATAACGTGGCTTCTGTCACTTATGCCCCAAAAACTCTTATGTGACTTGTTGTTGGCGCCTAAATCCTCCTGTTGAGTCTTTGGACCCTCAGGCTGCCTTGGGCTGAAGACTTTGGATTTGCGAATGCCATGCTCTAAGGCTGTCCCCTAGGCTGAAACTGCACGAGCCCCTGCAAACTTGTCCAATGCGAAAACCAAGCGTGTTCACAACCATCAACAAGAATGCCTTCTTGACGGCACTAGGAAGACTAAGCCTGATAATGCTCTGAAAATTTCCTGTTCCTTTGCTTGGTGCGGGATGACTGCAACCAGCCGCCCGGATTCTTTTTAGCAGCAGTTCACTCGAGCTTGCTGCTTTCCCGCGTTGGGGGCTCCAGACTGAGCCTTCGTTTCGCTACCATCCCGGGAAGCAAGCTGTATAGACCTCCTCTTGAGCTCTGAAGGCGTATGTACAATCTGCAACATTTGGGGATTGGCAACTTCAAGTGACTGTCAAAGGACGGTTTAACTCTGGATGGACACAAGCCTGCATGGTCCCACATAGCGCAATCCCATGAATTATGGCAGTATAATACACGTACATGGTCATGCAGGACGTTGTCCTCTCAAAAGCAACCAAAAGCAGGTATAATCTCAGACTTTAGACTGGGGACTATAGCATCCCCAGTGTAGACACTACACTTTTGCGGTGTTTTAGTCGTTGGGTCACAGCGGCTTAGCAGGTAGGTCAATGATTGGGCTTACGGTATGGCACGTAGATATTCGAAAGTGCACGTACAAACCCCCCTGACCCCAAACCCTGGGCCCCCTAAGCCCTAAATCCTACACCCTCCAAGCCCCAAACCCCAAAACCTAAACCCTGTACGCCCCAAACCCTAAATCCTACAAGCCCCCAAACCCTCCACCCTTTTCCCTATCAGCCCTAAACCCTATCCAAGTAAGGGTTCTGGGGATCCCTGCAGCGTCAGCAGCTCGGGATCCCCAGGGCCGGCACCCACGAGGGCGACAGGGCCCAGGGTCCTCAGAGGAGTTACAGAAATCATTATAATTGGGTTTAGGGTTTAGGGTTATAATCAAATCATTATTTGGGTGGTTGTCAAAATTATGGTCCCCTTTTGGGAACCCTAAATATTAGGGGCCGTATTACAATAGGGATCCAAAAAAAGACCATCATTTTGACAACCACCCATATTGCAATCAAATGAGCTATGGTCTAAACTCCTTAAAGGTGGTCATATAGGGGGTTAGGGGTTTCGGGTTTAGGGCTTAGAGTCTAAACTCCTTTGAAGGGGGTTGCATTGGGGATTAGAGTGGGTTTCAGGTCTAAACTTCTTGAACTGGGGTCTACACCCATAGATCTCACAAGTTCATCTATCAAGCCCTGGGGGGTTATATAGGGGATTATATAGGGGGAGTATTGCAGGGGCTATTAAGCGCTATAGCTCACATGGCTGATACCACAAATCCTGTATGACCTCTAGTACCTTATAAAATACTTTGGTATCATAAAATTATGGCCTACTAAGGTCATGCAGGATTTTCAGCAGCACTGTGAATAATAGCCTGGTGAAGGAGAAAAGGAGGTAAGGGAACATGGGGCTTGGAGTTTAGTGTACTGGGGTTTCCCAAAATTAGAGGTGCCTTTTTGGGGCTACTTATCATAAGGACTATCGTAATTTGACGCGGGGAGCCAGGGGCTTGAAAATTGATGTTCCCCCCACAGGGGCGCGCCACATACACTGACCAATGTCACTACAGAAGCCTATATGGTAGCTTCCGCGGATAGGCGGCAACAATACAAAGCCCAAACAGGCTACAATCCCCAGGGGTTGGACCATCGAAATGGTACCCCATGATTTTTTTGAGAAACCCCATATACCACTCATCAACACCATAAGATACTTTACCTCATTTGGGGTTGAGTGTTTCAAGGTTGGTGTGTGTGTGTGTGTGTGTGTGTGTGTGTGTGTGTGGGTGTGTGTGTGTGTGTTTTGTTGACTTAGTTTCGGCATGCATTTTTTCTGGGGTTTGGGGTGTTGGGGTTGGTAGGAGGTTGAGGCATGAGGACTCCGACAGACTTAAGTGCAAGAGTCTGTGCCTATGGTTTGAAGGAACGGGGCCAGGCATCTGCGATGATTTGGGACACACTACTCCGCGTGCTCGAAATGTCCTGGCTTACACCGGCAGACCCTGGGACCGGACAATTTTCAACACAAATGCTCTTATCGAAGGTGGGGACCTTTGCGGAGCTTTCTAAGAACAACTAAAGCAAGATTAGGTGGTAATGGATTTAGGGGCTGCTCGCACAATGCCTGTGGGCCTGAGAATCCAGGATCACCTTGAAATTTGCAAGTCTGCGTTTAGCACCTTTGTCAGCGTATAGCATAGCATTGGTAAGAGACTGCACAAGTTCTGCGGCAAAGCATGCCAGGGCCCTTGCTTGGACAACAGGCCTTGGTCACTACAGTGGTCACACATGTGGTCATGCGCAGGAAGCTGTATGACATACTTGGAGCTCACAGAACGAACAAATGGATGCCTTCTTGATCTGGCTCCAGGCTGCAACTAAGGTCCCCTGCAAGCACCCCAGGCTTAGTACATACTTTCATATGATGTGATATATAGTTAGGGTTACATATAGCGGCCACGGACAAGAAAATGTTGACTACCATATTACACTCCAGGGTATATATATATATATAGGGTACCTACAGGGGCCAATCCCTGCTTTAGCCGTCCACTTGATGAGTGCGTGTAGCCACCAAGCCCCTGTCCGTGTTCGGCAGTTGGCTGCGGCGACATCCTGCCCGATTGCACTTGGATCTTGAGCAGGTTTGCAACGACAAGAGGGACCTGAACCATTCTCTTTCATGTCCTCCAAAAGGGAACCAGATCCAACTGATTTATGCGCCCCCACATGAAGAGGAGCTATGCAAAACAAAGTTATCCATGCAGCACGTCTACTTTACCCATATCATACACCCATCCTAACCTCTAGATAAACCCCTATCCCCATATCGCCCCTAGGTTTTAAACTGACTCGCGGATGATCTGGGTTGACCCCTAAAACCCTTTGAACAATATTAGTATATAGGGTCCCTTATTGAAGCCATTAGGGAAAACATTAAATATCCCAGGGGCCTACCCAGTGATGGCCTGGAAAAGTGGAGATTATCGTTGCTGTTCCCGGCCGTCCCGAAGTCTCGCCCGTTGGTCCAAAATCGCTTAGCTGACGCGGCAAGTTGTGGTCTTGCATTATCTACATATATATATGTATATATATATATATGTAGGGCTATATGAATGAGGTTATATATTTATAGGTATAATATGTATGTATATATATATATGATATATGGGTAAGGGAAAAGAAAATGGGAACCATACTATACTATAGGGTTTGTGCATCATATAGAGGTAATGGAACATAAATGGAAACTATATTAGAGTATAGGGCTACATATAAGGGAAATGGAAAAGAAAATGGAAACTACAATCTTATAATTACATTATAGGCCATATGTAGGGTTAATATCGGGGTATTGGAAAAGAAATTGGAGACTGTAATTAGCAACATCATCACTTTCCCTTTCCCTTAGGATGGACATCCCTTCTTCAGCAAAATTACACGTTCGGGTGAGAGATGGCTAAGGTACTGGGCACCTATAATTTCTCCTCAAAGAAACAACCACTTAAACATTGTGAGTACTGTGGCATACTTTTGGGGTCCGTGCAGTAGAAACCTCATCATGCTGTGATATGAGCCATAGTCTAAACTGCTAGGATCGCCCTTAATAACCCCTCTCGTACTCCCCTATATAATGCCCTATAATAAAACCCTCTTCAAGGACTTTAGACTATAGCTCATGTAGGCTGCAGCGCGCTTTTCAGACTTGAAGTATGTTCCCTTGAGGCGGGTCCGGATCAATAAGAGCTCTTCATCTTCCAAAGCTGGGGCCAGTCAGGGCCAGAGTCTACAGCTGATACAGGGGATCTTACTTCAACAGACTTGGGGATCGTGAGGCTCCACCATACATGGAATAAGCATTTGCATGGTGCCTTCAGCACAAGAGCAGTTATTGACCTCGAGGGACACATTTTTGAGTCCCCTGGACCTCTGCGATAGGGGTGAAACTTGGAGAATGGCGCCCAACAACACGCAACCCTATTCACCCCTGCTAGCTGAATGCAACAAGCGACTCTGCTGGGCCAGTTACACCACGATTTTGCACGACGTGCATAGTTTTTGGTTGTTCATGTTCACATGACTGGGTGCAATGAACCCGGCCGAACGCATCTTGCGATGTGCATGTGCATCTTATGCCTGCGCATCGGTGCACAGGCTAAGTTGGCAAAACGAGTGCCTGGCATCTGTCTCTGTTCCTCGATCTCCAGCCAGGAATTCATTTCACATTCAGTGACATTCGGCTATGGGGTAATGCAGATACCACCGTTTGGTGGGCGTTGAGGTGAGACATCGATGCTTTTATCAGCTCATGTCGGAGCTGACTGTGCCAGGAAACGAGGCTATCCGCTCAACATTTTTCGGAAATGCGGCTATGTCCGAGGATAGCAACTGCGTGCGGTTTCTTCAATCTATGGCCGGGTTCATGAAGTGCTTTGTCGAGAGTGTTTAGCTCTCAAAGCCACAACTATTCAATTCTACAGCCATGGCTGCATGCTCGAAGAATCTGCAACGCCTAGGAGTCTTAGGTGGACAACGCTTCAGGCAGTTCGAATGAGATCAAGAGCCCACAAATCTTAACAATCGGGATTGAAAAGCCTATCCAATTTCGCCGGCATAGCTCATACTCATGTATGATAGAGCCCTGCGTTGTTCTGACCTCCGCTGCTTGGCTATGTTCGACTCGTCGCGAGCACTACAGACTACAGACTACGGGAGTCTGCACTACAAGATGACACAGTGAGTTTTCCCTGTAGTGCTGAGGATCTGTAAAGATGGGTGTATCTGAGAATGTTGATCCCCCGTGTGATAATGCTAGTATCCAACCTCTTTAGCAACTACACTGCCCTTTAGCCTTCTGCTCCTATTTCCCAAATGTTCTTCTTGCAGACCTAAACCTCTAAACCCTTAAGATCCTTGCACTCCAACTCTACCGCCCTAGCTCGCTGTCCCAGAGGCTCAGAAGCCGCGCGTACGGTGCGAAACCGCCTTCGGGCCCCAGTTCCTCACGTTGCCGGCAACCTGGCAGGTTCAGGGGTTATACTTCAGGAGCTGAATTAAGTTATTGTATTGGGGAAACCCTATTAATAACTATATATACCCACTATGGTAACTTAATTTAAGTTCCTTAACAGCAATCCGGTATAGGGCCTCAAAAGACTAACTATCTCAATTAGAATGCTGTAGGTGTTACTAGTAGTATGTATCCACATTATCATTACCAGTAGTATTATCATTATTGTGAGCAGTGTCAGTGTTCTTGTTGCTGCTTTTGCTGCTGGTGCTGCTATTGCTGCGAGTCTTGCACTGTTGCACCAGTTTGAATGAAACCTCCATGACCGTGTTGTTGTCACTGGAACTGCCATCATGTGTAGTGACGACTCGCGTCTCCATGACAAAGAACCATATGATGCTGTCTTTCGAGATGCTCTTGAGCATGCAGATGGACTGCCTACAAAAGAGCTCTATTGTTTTGGCGGCGTACCTATGCAATCATCATAAACCATCTGGGATCCACCCTTATCTTTAACAAATTGCCTCCGTTCCATTAGATTCCGACCGGCCGAACATGCAGTGAATGCTAGAGTTCCATTACATACCGCATGCTTCCAAGACTTAGGAACGGGGAGCCCTAAGAGTTACCACAGTTCAGAACAACCACAAAGCCACTTTCGAACTGATCTGAGGATATTAGCAACCGCGATGGCGATTTTATGAGGGAAGGGTTGCTTCCAAGTGATTGCCGTAAGTGTTTTACATGGGGCACGTGAGAGCGTTTGTATTGTGCATTGCTCACCCCACGGAGTATCAATGAGCACCGCTGAGAACCATAGGGGATTGCTACACATTGCTGCCGGACAAGTGGGCTGACGTACGTATTCACGCGCATGAGAACTTCACAACACGTTTGGACACTGAGGCCAAATGACGGAACTAGCGCTAAGACATTGATTCCCTTCCCTTGTAAAACAAGGGGAAGGAGGAGTAGTCACTCTTGGAGAGGTCACTTATCAGCTACAATGTCCTAGACCCCTTAGCCTAGAAGCCCTCTGACCCCTAAACAGAACACTCCAAGTCCCGAAGCAATGACCCTCCCCCGAACCAACAGGGAGCCCCATGTAGACTACTCAAAACAGGACAGTAATCTTTACAGGGCCCTTAATCTCAAAACCCTACTTAACTTTTGGGGGTGCTAGGTTAGCTGGGGGCAGTGTAACACTCCAAACTGAGATCCTAAACCCTCCACCGTAAATGTCCCCTATATAACCCCTGTACCATCCTATAGAAGCTGTACAAAGCCCTTTCGGGTGCTCCACCTTAATTCAAAAATTCCTCTTGAGGGGCGCGCCACGCCAGCAGTGATCATCCCAGCTGAGTTGAGGTGCGAAGTCTTGCCCTTGGGGTTCCAGATCCCCTCCTGCAGGGTATACAAATCAATTCCATGTTGATGAGGCAATTTTTAGTGAACATTTGTGTACCACCATTTGGATATGAGGTCGGATGAGCTTTTGTAATTTGCCCAGAAGATAGAGTTTGGGCGTTTGGGCCAAGGGGTTGGCGAAGATTTCATGGACTTGTCCTGAATGAGGGCTGCAACCCCCAATTTACAGTCAGCCCTAAACCCTAAACCCTGATGGAGTTTCATTGCCAAGGGCTCGCTATGAGGGCTTTCTGTGGCTGTGTGCTGTGGAGCTGTCCAAACAGTAACGGAAATCGCAAAAGGCCAAGGTTTGTTTTCTGGTGCAGCACCTTTTTTCGAACATCTCGCTGACTCGAAAGCTGCTAGGAGCAGGTTTGGGGTTTAGGGCTAAGGGTGCCCAATTTCAAGGAATTGGTGGCAACCGTGGAGCTTCGATAGTAGCCCGAGCATTTGGAATGAGCTCTTCCTTAAAAAGCATTTAGCAGAGTTTGTCGCCAAATCTGAGTGAAACTAGTTGGGTCTCAAATGTGAATAACCTGCTGCAGGAAGTCCTCCATATTCGTTGTTCACGAAGAACTACACGAAGTTGTAAGCAGGCATAACCCCGCATGTAAGTTTCCAGTTTATTTTCCATTGAGTGTCCTTTTGTTTGTAATTGTGCAAGCCCCTACACGAAATCAACCAAATTCAAGTAGCTCCGCGGACTGTCAGCCAGGCTTTAGGACAAGAACTGGGTACTGCCCTCACCCAGCAGACTATATGAACAGCTTTATATGTTCCTGTTTTCAAGTATTCTTAATTGTTACTGAGTGGGGTCAGCATTCAGGCACGACGTCATAGCGACCTCAGGCACAGGCTTACTGCTGCTCCCCTTGGTGAAGACAGCAGTCTTTCTTACAAGCCCTCGCCCCACGCAGAGCGCTCCTTCAAACATGGATCTGCATTGCTTGTCTCCGTCTGGCAAGCTTTCGTGCACATCTCTTGCCGAAGGCCTTCCAGCGCAACGGAGTTGCTGTAGCTCTCAACCACACATCAACAGGCACTTAAGCAATGTGTACGGACGCTTCTTCTCCTCCGGAAAAAAAGATGACATCTTGTCTTAAGAGTCACATTTCAGAGATGTACTCGCAAACGCGGGCAACGGAGTGGGGTGGGATCAGAGCTCACCGAAAATTGGAGCTACACCTGCTCTTCCAATGTCCTGAACTCAACTGTTACCCCGGCAGTCCGTAGACCCTGGGACCAGAGGTCTTCACTGCCTTGTGATGGCCCGCCATCGGTCGCCACGGACCATAGGAACTGCGAGAACCGGATTCCCTGCCACATGTCAGCAGAAAGACTAACTTGCCCGAAGAAGATTATGCAAATTGAGCATCCGCACCGGATCATTTAGCCCAGAGTACGCTTCATACTTCAGCTTTGAGACTTGCCTCATGGGTTGAGCACTGTAGGGACAGTCTGGGTTGCGGGCTCCGGAATCTGAAAAGGTACAGTGAGGGTGTGGAAGAATACTTAGCTAATGCTTCCTGGTCACGTGCAGTATGTTTATGCCCACCTCTCCCCCCGGGGAGAGTCAATACTTAGATGGAAAGTTGGTAGGTATCCTTCGTTCCCTTTCCCTTCTCCATCTCTTGACATTGCCGCTGTGCTTTTTTGCCATAGAAACAACCAACCACCTACAAGCATCCTGCCTTCTAATCCGCTGCAACTCCTGCAGCTTTAACTAACAATTCTTGCACATCAAACGGCGGATCATACAAGCCCGGTCCGTGACCCAGAACATCCAACACCCTTACTTCAAAGCAGTAGCTGCGCAGGCTGTGGGAATGATCTAGTGGCTGAGTTCCGTGGGTGCCCCAAACATAATTACAATCTGTTTTTCAGAGGGTCCATATACACAACTATTAGGGAATTAAGCCCCAAAATACCATACTATAGGAGGAGTTGTGGGTCCCAATTCCCTAATGGTTGTATATGTGGACCCTCTGGGTTCTTTATACTGCAGCAGGATTATTGAATGAAAGGACCCAAGTGAGGTCAAGGCCCGCCCAGTCAGTCACCGGCACAAGCCCTCCAAAAAACCCTCATCTCCTTAAACCTGAGCAACCGTGAACCCTACGCCCTGTAAACCCTAACAAAATCTTGGACTCTAGATCCTAAAAACCGACGAAACATAGCCAAAACCACCAAAAATCACCATTGCCCCTGAATCCTGAACCCTAAGAAATAAAACCAGAAAACCCAAACCCTGCCCCATGGCCTCCTTCCCACACTCCTGTTTGCCGATGGCTGGCAAACTGGCAGTGGAGGCGGCCTGTGGTCCTCAGTGTCAGGGTTTAGGGGTTTAGGGGTATAAGGGTTTAGGGTTTAAGGTTTAGGGTTTAGGGGTTTGAGGGTGTTAGAGTATGGGGTTTAGGTGTGTTGGAAGTAACTATGGGCACTAGTAGGGGTCCTATATGCCTTGCCTTTTGTACACTCTATGTTGTAAACCCCTACAAACCCATTTGAGGGCCCATAGTAAGGTCCACGGAAACAAGTAGGGACTTTCAATACTTAGAATTTCAAGATTTGGAGTTTTGGGTTTCTATAGGGTGCTGAATATGAGGGTTTAGAGCTAGGATTTACTCGGTTGTCGGTCTAAACGGGCATGATTAGAATATAGTCTGTCGTGTCTACAAGAATGGCCGTCGCTGTAACGGTTTATCTGTCGGTGTTCTCTGCACCCTGTCATGGATACAGCTAACCTACACCTTTGAAATGTTCCCTATATACGGTATACCAAAATGGGGAGTTTTAATGCTGAGGGTCTGGTACTGGGGGCAGGCAAATTCTTTACACCAGAGTCCGTACCTGCTATCAGCTTCCTTCGATCTCTTCTGGCTGGTACTGGGGAAAGGTATGCCGCTAGTAGGCCATGTGCAATCCGCTTTTGCTAGCACCCTAAATTCCCTCCCCCTCATTACCCGATAAGCATAGTAGTTTCCATTTTATTTTCCATTATCCCAATATAACCCTTATATGAGCCATTGTCTAAACTCCAAGTATCCCCCTTAATAACCCCTATAGTAGTCCCCTATAAAATCCCTTATATAACCCCCTTTAAGGAGTTTAGACTATGGCTCATATAACCCCAACAGACCCCAATATATTCCCTGCCGTATGTCACTTTTTCGACTCTGGAGTCGACGTGGCGGACAAGCAAAGCAGCCAAGCTCCCGACCAACAGGAAAGCACATTGCGCACATGCTGCTGTTGAGCTTCTCCAGCAGAACGCGGAAAAAGTACCTTCACACTACTCCACTTACAAAGTACATGAACAGGAGCATGGCGAATATCAATCATGCTCACCATCTTTGACATGTCAGGTATAATCATGGTTGCTGCAATCTACCCCTACCTACAACCCTTCCCAAGGTCATCTTCCATTGTTCCTCTTAGACAACCTTTTGGCAGGTTTCCTGGTCTGCGATTGGACAAATGTCATGTCGGGGCACTCTTTCTGCTTCGGCGTCATGTTGGTGAACTGCCACTCAGCATCGGGGTCATACCTCGGTAGCAGACTTGCGCAAGAGGCTGTCGGAATCATGCAGGGATCCTTGACCGGGGCACTCTGGGAACCTTGGGGTAGTTTTAATGGTTATAACAGACAGTGGGTTGCCCTCAGAATTAAGAGCTGCAAAATGAAAACTGCAATTTTTCCCCTCTGTTTCCAATCGAGACTTGCTGAACTGGGCTAGAGCACGCGCGAACCCTCCGAAAGGTTTCAGAGCTCAGTGGCTTTTACAATCTGGGCGCTTCCCAAAATTAGGAGTACCTGTTTGAGGGTCACAAAACAAGGATTACAGTACATTGGGGTCCATATTGGTCCCGTATTTTGGGAAACTACCATCTAGATCGGCAAGCCTTACGACCTCTGCCCTTGGGGTTTCACAGAACGCCAAAGTCAGACCTTCACGGCAGAGAAAGCTTGCGGTTTGTAAGGTCCAGGCGACGTAGGAGGAAACGGTGCTTGATCCTGTGCTTGATGCTACTACAGCACGCCCCGCCTTGTGCGGGGCAAAATTATCGATGTAGAGCTGCCCCAAGAATTGTCTGACAACTGATTAGCAGGAATAGCTCATCTCCGAGACCACATCATGTATCTTGTTCTTGTTGAGCCTTTTCGTCCGCTTTCAGCTTCCCGCTCCTTACAATACTGAGCAAACAGTATGGATTTGGTAAAAACTTTATGGTCCGCTTAGTTCATTGGAAACCAAAGCAACACAGTCAAAGTATCATATCGGACCATATCCTATGCCCTGCATGTCCTTCTGCTGCTTCAGCTCATACAGCGCCGAGATGATTAGCCTCGTGCTCTGGTCCTGCAATCGTGGGCGGGTCGGTTTACTGGATTCCCTGTTCTCTTCCCGAAGATTGATGGAGAACCAAACACTTGCATGCATGGCCCTCCAATGCTTGCCTACAATCTTTCCCAACAATTGCCCATCAACCGCCAAGAAGTCTTTCCACCTATGATACAAGCCCCATGCTCCACCAGCGTGTTCCCCGTGGAACAGGTTGCCAAGCGCTAACCATAGAAAGACTTAATGGGAGGCAAGGGATTTTGTTCAGGTAGCAGATTCCGAATGATTTGTGGATAGTAGCATCTGTCTCCTGTAGCCTCCTTAGACCTCTAAGGAAAAGAAGAGGTTTGACATTTGCTTAGGGTTCTACTATAACACTAACAATATTCAAAAATAGTTTTAAGGAGGCTACAGTGTCATTGCTCCTCTGGTAGATATTCCTGCTTTGTCTTCACGGTCTTCTTTGTGGCGGCTTAAGCTTGAGGCCGGGCTGGCAATGGCTTCAGTCCCTGTGGCAAATCTCACCAATGCCTTACAGAGCAGGAGAACTCCCCCTTATAATATATTTGTAATATTGTACGATTAATATATTGTTCATGTTATTATAATATGATAACATTTTCGTATGGTGGGATTATAGTATTACAGCATGATAGTAGAATTTGAGTGCTTTCCTTGAAGCTCTCCGGACTGAGACCCCTGCGCAGATACGCTCAATCAACTAAGATCCGCAAACCAGGCTTGCTTGGCAAAGCCATTCTACACCCTAAGCACTACATATGTACATATACACCCTCAACCCTATAAATGCTACATCCTAGTACTTGAATCCTAAACACTGAACCCTGTCCCCAGATCCCCAAACCTAAATCACTAAGCCCTAAACCTAAACCCCTAAATCCTAAAACGGACATCCCTAAATCCTAAACCGATAATACCCTAAACCCTAAACCTATAATTCCCAAAAACCCTAAACCCAACTCCCTGAACTCTAAAACCCTAAACTCAAATCTCTACACCCTAAATCCATGAACCCGAAACCCCTACACCCTAAGCCCTAAACTATTAACCCTCTAAAGTAACGGTCATTAAATCTAAACCTTAATCTCTAAACCCTAAACCCAAATCCCTAAACCCAGTTGCCACAACCATCCTGCAGCTGCGCCAAAGTCGCATGGTCTCGCCGATATTGCGCGAACTCGTGGCGCACCTGGTGAGGGTTCTAGGTCATTTCGGGATTATGGGCTTAGGTTTCTTAACCACATGGACGTTTATGCCTGCATGCAGGATTTAGGGTTTGGGCTTGAGGGTTTAGGGTTTTGGCCTTAGGGTTTCGGACAAGGGTTTAGGGATTAGGGTTGGTTATGGTGCAGCTTCACAAGGTGCTAGCTCCAAGTACGCACTGAGAAAAGAAGCTGGAAACGACTGCGCTATTTGGTGCTTATAGGGCATAGGGCGCTATAATACTTAGTGCGAAATGGAAAAGAAATGGGGACAAAAAAAGGGTTATTGAGGATTTATGGTTCAGGGTCCTGGGGACCTAGTACGTAGGTGAACAATGGGATGAATGGGGTTACTACATGCCTTACACATTGTTCTAGGTAGACTCACTTAGTCCCCTTGAACCTTGAAGTCGATTTCGACAGGGTGCTTAGGCAACTAGACAGGCTTCACGAAGTCTCCGCTTCAGGGTTTAAATCGCCTCACAAAAACTGGATCTTTAAGCCTGTCTGGTTCGTTTGAAACGGGGAGTAACTATGGCTTGCTGGAGAGTAATTTCCAAATTTGAAGGTCTGCATACATGTAGTTTTCAGAGGACCAAGCGGATGCAGTGAATCGCAGCTCCGGCCTGTTCAACGCACCCCGCTCTCGTACGAGGGCTTTACTTCAGGTAGCTATAGTCAGCTCACATACTTGCAGCTGTAAAATGATAGGCACAAAGTAAGAATCAACATTACTCCAGCACAGCAACGTGGTGCTTCAACACATAAGGATAATCCTGAGTTTCCGATTCGCGCACAGAATCGATTGATCTATAGAGGGTAGCTTCAATAAAGAGCTGCACCATAATGCTTATCATGTAACAACCTCAGAAAAGGACACTGATTTAAATCCCTTGATGTCGTTCCTAGCAAATCCTGCACGTCCCCTGCACAACTGTAGTTAAAGCACAAAGCCCCATGCATCGTTCGTACGCAGTAGTTCAGTGAAGAGCCTGTCAAACATGCCGCAGTAGAGGGACCATTACATCAGCACCATGCGTAGAATGCTTGACTCCTAAATCTCCCTGGCAGAACCCTTAGATCCAAACAACCCAAGGTAGGTCATATTTACAGACTTTTGGGCCAAATGTAGGCAAACTTTGTATACTTGGATCCCTATATAACCCCAGCGTCCATGTCATTTCCAATTTTCTTGTCCATATTATTCTCCATTATAGGTATTTGTTGTATACTTGGATTCCTAAACCCTGAACCCTATTTGTATACCTGGATCCCTAGAAGAAGCCCTAGCAGTCGCAGACGCCAACAAAAACGACCGTGGCTGAGCAGCCGACCATCTGCAGCGTGCTCTGATGATCCTGGCGGGATCTGGCAGTATACTATGTTATACTATACTATATTGCTCAATGATATACTATATTGATATTACAGTCTATTGTACCGTGATATACTATATTGATAATATACTATATTGTACTATGATATACTACATTGATAATATACTTCATTGTACTATGATACACAGTAATGATAATATACTATATTGTACTATGATATACTATATTGGGTTTATACGATATCATACTGTACTATATCGTACGATGATATACTATATTGGGTTTATACTATATCATAATATACTATATTGTACCATGATATACTATATTGGGTTTATACTATATTGCAATATACTATACTGTACTATGATATACTATGTGAGGTTTGTATTATATCAACATATACTATATTGCTCTATGATATACTATAACGGGATTCTACTCTATTATAATATACTATATTGTACCATAATATACTATATTGGGTTTATAC